ATCTTTTCAGACCAAGTCAAATTTTACGCATCTTTTTTTCTTTCAATTAAAATTGATTAATTATTTGAGAAGGACCTTACTGCAGCTAACAGGAAGGGCGACGGACCGCAGTCAGTCTCAGACCTTATATGGAAATGGGACCATTGCACTCCGGAAGTGAAGGGGGCGCTGTTTCCTGTATTATCCGCAGCCTCCCTCAAAGTCTTTATTATTTTCTAGAAATTTTTCATGTTTTGTAAATTGGTAGAGCTGATTAAATGATCTCAAAGTGAATCCAGTTTCAGTCTAAGGCCAACCTGTTGAAACTGACAAATTTTGAGTCGTTCCTGGACATTGAGCTCAAAACACTGAAAACACTTGGAGTGTTTTTAAGAAATGTTCTCAGAGACGCCATCTTTAAGAGGATCTAGTGATCTCCCAACTAGAGCTTGTTGAGCTAAAATGTTAAAACGTAACATTTAACTTTAGTTTAACTCAAGTTAAAACAACATTTTAACTCCAGTTTGAACTTTTCATCTCCTCGGCTGGTTCCGTCTCATGAGCTGCAGATTAACAAGCTTTTAATGAAACTTTCACTGGCAGGTAAAACAGCAGGTAAATGGTGGTGAAACCAGAACCAACTTTATCTCAACTGTTTGCTGGAAGATGATGGAAGATGCAGGAATATTTTAGCAGAGAGCATCCATCCTCTTTCTTCATCAGTTTGACCTCTGACCTCATGAAGCCCTTTCTGTTTCCCTCTGGTAATAACAATCTATTAGAAATCATTTATTGACAGGGCAATAATTATTCTTTACCAGCTAAATGATAATATTTACCTGCAGCTTGCTGAGTGTTTTACTCTATTCATAAATTGTTGATGATGTGATTCTATGAATAGGATTTATTGTTTTAGAGTGGAAGGAAAATTTTCATGTTGATGGACTAAATAGTTTTTCCTAAATATGAGACTCTACCAACATAAAGTCTCAGAATAATATAGATGGCAGCGTAAAAACTAAAATGTGAATTTTTGCTTGTATCTGTTTGAAAACCTGGTTGTTATTCTTCTGAACCTGATTCAGTTGTTTGTTACTGACTTTTGATCAGTTACATTTCTTAAGTATACATTGCAAATTGTATTTTTATTATAGTTGATCAAGTTGTGTTTCATGTCTTATTCCTTTTGTTCCTCCTGTAATTGATGGAGATACATAGATATTATTTATAATGTATAAAAGTATTGTTTATGTCATTTAATTAGCTCTACATCTTTAAGAAAATGAAAAAATATGGTGTTTTATAAGATAATTGATCTTTTACGGTGCCAGTAAAGCTGAAATGAATCGTAAATCATAAAGACTTTGTGCTATTCTGATTTGGTAATGTAGTTATATTAGTTGTGTTACCACCACACGCCACTAGAGGCAGTATCAGCACGAAGGAGCAGATTTAGAAGATCACAGAAAGCTGCAGAATTAGTGAAAAACTGAGTTGAAGTAAATGAAATAGAGAAGATCAAATACAAGCTGAGAGTGAAAATCCTTCCTAAAGGTGAAAATATATCACAGATTTCAAAAGAAAATAAAAACGAGAGCTCATTGATAATATAGGAAACAGCGCCCCCTTCACTTCCGGAGTGCAATGGTCCCATTTCCATATAAGGTCTGAGACTGACTGCGGTCTGTCGCCCTTCCTGTTTGCTGCAGCAGGTGGAGTTGAATTATTTTCCAAAACTTTCCTTTCAGTCCTCCCCTCCTGCAAAACAAGATGGCCGCCCTGGGCTGGCATCACACTGCGCTATGAAAGCCCAAGGATGACAATGGATAGAGAAAAAAACCAGGCTGGCCAAAAATGATTAAGGACTAAAATCAACCAATGGCCCATCCTACTGACATGAAGGGTGTCCAGGGTCAAAGGTCAGAACACTTCTGCTCATGCTGCACTTCCTCTGAACGGCATCATGAAGTTCTGCAGCAGAGCTGGAATAAAGGACGGCTGCAACGATTAATCGGTTGTTGAAATAATCAATGGATATTAATTAATGGATTCATGAAACCAAACCTGGACAAACATTTTGTATTTAAGATAAAAACATTCTGTGTAAATCTGTTCCAAGCAAACAGCAGCTTTAGCTTGACTTGGTTCTGGAACAATCTCCTATTAATAACTGATTTCCAGATCAGCCGATCGCTGAGCCGAAGCTCGCCTGAGCGGTTCTGATTGTCAGCAGCAGATGCATCCTTTGCTCCAAATGATCCAACATTCACGAAAGGAATGCTGATATTTAGAACATTTTCTGAATTAAATATAGAATTAAATTGTTTTCTCCATCTTTTACTGTATTTCTAATGCACTTTGTGGTTAAAAGAAAATACTCTTTTTTATCGGATTAATCGTCTCAAACGATTGCCTCAAGAATTGTCAGAATAATCAATTAATCATTGGGATCAATTGTTAGAATAATTGATTAAGTGTCAGAATAACTGAATCATTCCCTGATAAATCGATGAATGAAATAATGATCAGTTTGGAATAAACTGAGCGATCCATCCTCTGGAAAACCTTTTAACTGTCAGTCAGTCTGTGACTTTTGCACAGCAGGAGGCTTTACCTAGCGAGGCGTACGACCCCGGGGGCAGGGCGGCGGCGCCGCCGAACGGCGAGGAGGCCGGGACGCCTCCCAGGCGGGACTTGGCGCTGGAAGCGGCGTTGACGTCGATGTCGCTACGGGAACGCTGCAGAGAGCCCGGCGCGGCCGACGCCCTGGAGCCCGCCAGCTTACCTGGACGGGGACGGACAGGAGACACTGGAGCGGAGCCCTCTGGACCCGACACGGTTCTGGACGGGCTCGGCCCAAACACACTTACTTCTGGTGAAGCTGCTTCCGATGACGCTCTTCACAGACAGAGGTCGGCTAGAACAGAGAACGTTCTGGAGTCATCACGCAGGAAGGCCAGCAGAACCAGAACCAGACCCAGAACCTCCAGGTCTTACTTGAGGCTCTCCTGCGAGGAGGAGGAGGAGCGGTCCGACTGCGGCAGCGACACGATGCTGTCGGAGCTCTTCAGGTGCGACTGCAGCGCCTTCTGATAGGTGGCCTCCAGCGCCTGGAACAGAAGCTCCGCCTCCCGGCTGTAGTGGCCATGGAAACCCCAGTAGCACCTGCGACGGGACAGACAGGTGAGTCAGAGGCGGCTCCGGCCGCTCCGGCCGCTCCGGCCGCCGGCATCGCAGTGTGAGGCGGAGACGCGTACTTCCTGGCGATGGAGCGGGCTTCGGAGTCGGCGTCGTGAATTCCCTTCCGGACGGTTTCGGCGAGGACGGCCACGTGTCTGGGGCGAGACGGAAACATGAGGACAGAGAGACGGGCGCTGCTGGTTCCCACGGCGAGACTCGGGGAATGAGCTCCCTGCGGTTCCCTCCCGCTTTTAATGCCTCCCCTCCCGTGGCCATGGTTACAGGAGCCACCTCACGGCATCCATCCATCACCCCGGCTCATCAGGAGCTTAGCGAGCCGACGCCTAGCCGCCTCAAATGTCACCATGGGAGGGAGGGGGGTACGAGCTCCGCCCTCTCCTCCACTCGGACCCCCTCCCTCTCCCCGTCCCCAACCGAGGCAGGACTCACCTCTCCAGGGTCGACGTGTGCCACTCCTGCAACAGGAGGTCCAGGAACTCATAGCAGCGCCTGGAGGCACAGAAACAGAAGAGCAGAGCAGAGCAGAGCGGCCATGTCCAAACTCTAGTTCCACACTGTAGTTTTGGCAACACTTCAAAAACGTAACTTCCTGTTATTTTCAGCGCAGACGCACAAGATGAATAAGAGTTAACCGCAGTGAGAGCAGAGTGGCAGAAACAAGGCGATGTTTTTATTGGTGATGGCCGCAAATGTTAGTGACCACTCTGCTCTCCAGTAACACAGCTATGCTAGCATTAGCTGCTAGCATTACTGATGCTAGCAGCTAGTTTATGCTAACAGCTAGAATGACTTGCACTTTCTTCTTCAAAGGGAACATTATGACAGTTGAGCTGTAGGCTTCAGACGGATCGATGGAAGCTCTGCTTCCTGCAACCTGACGACACCGGGAGCTGAAGTTGGTGTCAGAATGAAGTAAGACTGAAAAGCCACTCCTCCTATTTTAGATTTTGTCTCTGGTTTCCATGGATAGCAGGGACAGGCTGTGGAGAAGCTCTTACCTCCTGACAGCCACAGACTTGGAGCTGCAGTTGCTGGTGATGATGGGGATGAGGCGAGCGTAGTGGGTGTGCTGGAAGAGAACCACTGGAGTTAGAGTCCACGTCCCCCGGAGGGACCGAGACGTCCCACCGCGGCGGAGACTCACCCTGAGGATGAGGCGGATGGCCGCCACACCGGATGTGGCCATGACCTTGGCGCTGTTTGGTACCAGGTTGAGCAGGGTCGGCATCACGCTCTCTGCTCCGTGGTCAAACTTGTTCCGCAGGACGGAGGACAGATGTCTGGTGGACACGGAGATACGGTCAGAGACCATCTGGGGACCGAGCCGACCCACTGCTGCACAACGGTCTGGGAGGAACCAGACAGGTTCCAGACCTGCTGGTCCAGGTCCAGCCTGCTGGACCTGCTGGTCCAGGTTCTGGACCAGCAGATCTGGTCCAGAACCAATTGAGGACCTCATTCTGGTTCCGGGCCATCTGCTTTTTGAACTTTGTTTGAACTTTCTTTGGTTCCTCAATTCAGGCTGTGTGCTCTGAAAGCTCACGTCTGAAAGGCTGGTTCTGTCCAGTCCGGTCCGGTCCAGCCTGTGACGGCCTCAGGTGGTACCAGAACCTATTTAGCTGTGATTCATTCATCAAGCAGCTGCTCTTTAGCTGCAGACCTGCTCAGTTCCACCTCATCTGGGTTCAATTAGAATCTGGGTGATGGATCGAAGTTTCACAGCGGAGCAGAACCGGTTCTGAAGCAAACCGAAACCCAATCAGTTCCAGACCCGGATAATGTCAGAGCTGCCATGAAGGCAATCAGGAGGGAATTAATGACGCCTGAGGACCATTAATCAGAGGCTTGATGCAGCGACGCCTTCTTACGGGCCAGAGGTATTTCAGCAGGTTCTTAAAGGGCCAGAGACGTTTCAGCAGGTTCTAAAAGGGCCAGAGACGTTTTAACGTCTTCTTAAAGGGCCAGCGACGTTTTAACGTCTCCTCAAAGGGCCAGAGACGTTTTAACGTCTTCTTAAAGGGCCAGAGACGTTTCAGCAGGTTCTTAAAGGGCCAGAGACGTTTTAACGTCTTCTTAAAGGGCCAGAGATGTTTTAACGTCTTCTTAAAGGGCCAGAGATGTTTTACAGGATCTTAAAGGGCCAGAGATGTTTTACAGGATCTTAAAGGGCCAGAGATTTTAACGTCTTCTTAAAGGGCCAGAGATGTTTTACAGGATCTTAAAGGGCCAGAGATGTTTTACAGGATCTTAAAGGGCCAGTGGGGTGTTAGCAGCGTCTCACCCCAGCGTGATGCAGGCCTCTCGGACCACCTGGGAGCGCAGGTCTTTGGCCGACAGCTTCAGCGGTGCCTCCAGCAGCCGCAGCTGGTGCGGGAAGCCTTCATGGTCCGGCGCTCCGGCCAGGACGAGAGAACGCACCTTCTTGAGCTGCAACGGAACAGAAGAGTCAGCCAGGCTCATCGGTGGGCAGCTTGGCAGAGGTCAGAGGACATACCGCCACCACGCGCTGTTCCCAGTCGTGTTTGTCGTCAGACAGAACGTCTCGGATCTTGGTCAGTTGGTCCTCCAGCTCCCTGTTGGAATAGAACTGCACACCAAGCACAACCCAGTCAGTGCGGCTCTAGTTCAAAGGTTTTCCCTCCCATGCATTGCCCTCCGCTGACGCATCCCCTTCTAGAGTCTGGAATGACCTCTGTATTTAGTTACTTCCCAGGCGCACCGTCTCGTCACATGGTGTGGGTTCATCAACATGTTGATGAAACGGACTGAAGTAGCGAATGCTGCCATCTGCTGGTGGGTCTGAGCCATACCAGAGGCACCGGACCTCCAGTTTGTGGCCGTGACGTTTCCTGGTCCACGCTAGTTAGCAACAGCTACTTCCTGTTTATTTACAAACCTCTGATTAAATCACACCTGAGGTTTCACAGACCTGTGAGACAATTGACTTGCAATATTTGCAGTTATCATTATGTTTTTGCAAATGGTCTTAAAACAGAAAAATTATCTTTTATTGATAATAAATTGTTCCATAATTTCCGGAAATTATGGACCGCCAGAACCAGTGAAACCAGCAGCACCATTGGAACCAGCTGGGGGATTGATCGTGGTTCCGTTCTGGACACACCTGGACTGGCGGGACGTCCTCAAACACCTTCACAAAGTCGTCTTCATCAACGGCTCCAGCAGCCGCGTCCTTTCCTTCAGCATAGGAAGACACGAGCAGAGAAGGTCAGCAGGGCGGACGGGGACGTTCGTCCGTCCTGCTGGATGTGTCCCTCACCTGTGGACTTGGTGGACGAAGCAGAACCGGGCCGTCTCACGGAGCTCACCACCGCCCTCCGTCCAGTAGGAGGCGCCTTGGAGGAGGACGACGAAGAGGACCGGCCTCCGTCCAGAGAGTCTTCATCCTCAAAGTTTTTATCTGCAGAAGAAGAAGGAGCGGCTAACCACAACCGGACTGAACCGGCCCGGTTCAGCAGCCTGTTGACCTGGCACCGGACAGAGCGAGAACATGGACCACAAGCCATGTTCTGGAACCAGTGGAACCAGTGGAACCAGCGAAACCAGCGGAACCAGTGGAACCATCAGAACCAGTGGAACCAGCGGAACCAGCAGAACCAGCGGAACCAGTGGAACCAGCAGAACCAGCGGAACCAGCAGAACCAGCGGAACCAGCGGAACCAGCAGAACCAGCAGAACCAGCGGAACCAGCGGAACCAGCGGAACCAGCGGAACCAGCAGAACCAGCAGAACTAGTGGAACCAGCGGAACCAGCAGAACTAGTGGAACCAGCAGAACCAGTGGAACCAGTGGAACCAGTGGAACCATCAGAACCAGCAGAACCAGCGGAACCAGCGGAACCAGCGGAACCAGTGGAACCAGCAGAACCAGCGGAACCAGTGGAACCAGCGGAACCAGCAGAACCAGCGGAACCAGTGGAACCAGCGGAACCAGCAGAACCAGCGGAACCAGTGGAACCAGCGGAACCAGTGGAACCAGCGGAACCAGCAGAACCAGTGGAACCAGCAGAACCAGCGGAACCAGCAGAACCAGCGGAACCAGTGGAACCAGCAGAACCAGCGGAACCAGCGGAACCAGTGGAACCAGCGGAACCAGTGGAACCAGCGGAACCAGCAGAACCAGTGGAACCAGCAGAACCAGCGGAACCAGCAGAACCATTGGAACCAGCGGAACCAGCAGAACCAGCAGAACCAGCGGAACCAGCGAAACCATTGGAACCAGCGGAACCAGCAGAACCAGCGGAACCAGTGGAACCAGCGGAACCAGCAGAACCAGCGGAACCAGTGGAACCAGCGGAACCAGTGGAACCAGCGGAACCAGCAGAACCAGTGGAACCAGCAGAACCAGCGGAACCAGCAGAACCAGCGGAACCAGTGGAACCAGCAGAACCAGCGGAACCAGCAGAACCAGCGGAACCAGTGGAACCAGCAGAACCAGCGGAACCAGCAGAACCAGTGGAACCAGTGGAACCAGCAGAACCAGCGGAACCAGCAGAACCAGCGGAACCAGTGGAACCAGCGGAACCAGTGGAACCAGCAGAACTAGTGGAACCAGCAGAACCAGCGGAACCAGTGGAACCAGCAGAACCAGCGGAACCAGCAGAACTAGTGGAACCAGTGGAACCAGCGGAACCAGTGGAACCAGCAGAACCAGCGGAACCAGTGGAACCAGCGGAACCAGTGGAACCAGCAGAACCAGCGGAACCAGTGGAACCAGCAGAACCAGCGGAACCAGCAGAACTAGTGGAACCAGTGGAACCAGCGGAACCAGTGGAACCAGTGGAACCAGCGGAACCAGCGGAACCAGTGGAACCAGCGGAACCAGCAGAACCAGTGGAACCAGTGGAACCAGCAGAACCAGTGGAACCAGCAGAATCAGTGGAACCAGCAGAACCATTGGAACCAGCAGAACCAGCGGAACCAGCAGAACCAGCGGAACCAGCGGAACCAGTGGAACCAGCAGAACCAGCGGAACCAGCGGAACTAGCAGAACCAGCGGAACCAGCGGAACCAGTGGAACCAGCAGAACCAGCGGAACCAGCAGAACTAGTGGAACCAGCAGAACCAGCGGAACCAGTGGAACCAGTGGAACCAGCGGAACCAGTGGAACCAGCAGAACCAGCGGAACCAGTGGAACCAGCGGAACCAGTGGAACCAGCAGAACCAGCGGAACCAGTGGAACCAGCGGAACCAGTGGAACCAGCAGAACTAGTGGAACCAGCAGAACCAGTGGAACCAGTGGAACCAGCAGAACCAGCGGAACCAGTGGAACCAGCGGAACCAGCAGAACCAGTGGAACCAGCAGAACCAGCGGAACCAGCAGAACTAGTGGAACCAGTGGAACCAGCAGAACCAGTGGAACCAGCGGAACCAGTGGAACCAGCGGAACCAGCAGAACCAGTGGAACCAGCAGAACTAGTGGAACCAGTGGAACCAGCAGAACCAGTGGAACCAGCGGAACCAGTGGAACCAGCGGAACCAGCAGAACCAGTGGAACCAGCAGAACTAGTGGAACCAGTGGAACCAGCAGAACCAGTGGAACCAGCAGAATCAGTGGAACCAGCAGAACCATTGGAACCAGCGGAACCAACAGAACCAGTGGAACCAGCAGAATCAGTGGAACCAGCAGAATCAGTGGAACCAGCAGAACCATTGGAACCAGCGGAACCAGCGGAACCATTGGAGCCAGCAGAACCAGCGGAACCATTGCAGACTGCAGCTGGTCCAGCTGCAGTCTTTAGAGGTTCGGTCCGATCTACCGCCGAGGCTGTTGGACCCGTCGCTGCGCTGGTGCCGGGTCCACTGAGCCCAGCTTTCATACATGTTTCTGCTCTGGCAGAAACCCATTGCTGGGGGCAACCCATTCCTCTCTGTTCTCTTCCTCCAGCTGAGAACGAGAACCAGAAACGGAGACAGGAACTCACCAGAACCAGAAGATGGCATCATGTTCCCAGATCTCTGGACTTCATCAAACCTGCTGAAGATGACATTCAACCTAAGGAAGAGAAAAGAGACGGATGAGATCGATCGCATCTCTCTCCTAATGACGACGACCGTCATGGAGCAGAATGAAGAAGATTCATCATTTAAAGTAGTTTACAAAGAAAAATCCGAATGCGCCATACCTTAACCATCGCCCTGGCATACATTTATTGAGTGCAAACACACCTTTAAGACTTTTATCATTTTTCTTGAACCTTTCTGTTGTTCTGCCTCATAAAAGCCAGAATACATGCTGAACTTTCAGAATCAAACCTGATTAAATTTTGGCTACTTATTTTCAAGCAGCTTGAAAATAAGGAAAGATTCTGAAGATCAGAAATTAAACGGGAGAAGATAAAAACTATTCTTTATGGCTGCTGCAGTGTGCATCGACTCCACCAGGGGGAGCTCTCATCCCTGGCCTCAGAGCAGGCCAGGGATCTGGACCAGATGGCGACCCGGCGGCCTACCGTACCGTGACTGGGGAAGGCCCTTCTTGCTGAGGTCCAGCCTCACCCGCTCCCCAACATGGCGGTAGATCTCCACCAGGCAGCTCATGGCGCCGTCCCGAACCTGCATTGCCAGAGATTGGGTCAGAACCAGTCATCAGAGTTCTGGAACCAGGATCCACCAGATCCCACTCTTTGGTCTGCTGCTGCTGCTGCTTCAAACCAAAACTTCCTGATGGAGAAGAGCAAGAGCAGCACCTGCGCTCCATCAGGATCCCTGTTTCCACACATTCACAGACTAACTTCCTGTGTTCAGAAGCTGTGAGGATGATGAAGAAATGAGGGATGAAGGAGCTGAGTGAGGATGATGTAAGGGGTCATTATATTGCATGCGGCGTCAGGTTGTCCAGATGTTGGAGAAATTGTGATATTATTAATCAAATATTCGTTATTCTCATACAATCTTATAGCATTATCTTCTTTTATGCTTTCATTGTTTAATCTCATTCTAGGATTAAGAATGTTTCTATATTCCTTTCTCAGAAGGAGGGAAAGCAGAGACTGCAGGTTTTCTGCTTCGTTGAGTTGCTGGATTGCTATAAAACTGTCACTGTGAAGATTCACTACATATTCTGTTTAACTTTGTGCCTGGAAGGAGATTATCTAGTGCAGAATAACTGTGTGTTGGTTAGTGAATGACATTTGACGCTGTAGCTGTGTGATGAGTTGTTTCCCCTCCCTTTACAGCAGGTGTGTCAAACTCATTTTGGTTTTGGCCCAATCAAGATCATGAAGGCTCTTAAAGGGCCGGTTGTGCCAGAATCTGTTGATAAAATCTGTTCACAAACTGTTAATATGTCAATGAATTCTTAAAATTACATAATATTATTGAACTTCTTTTCAGTCTCTTCAGGAACTAATAATAAATGCGACTGTTTATTTACTTGCTGTATAAATCATGGACTAAAATCATACATCAACTAAATTCTCAAGAAACTGGAGGGATTGATTGATATAAATTGGCAGTAAACAGATAAAAACTGCATTGATATGATTGATAATATAATATTTAATCACACTTAGTGTTAGTCTAGTCTGTGGAGGGCCACATAAAAAGCTACGGCGGGCCGGATTTGGCCCCCGGGCCTTCAGTTTGATACGTGCTTTAGAGCTACAGCGTCCTTGTGATTAGGGATCCTGAAAACAATAAAAAGAGAGGAGCAGGCAAATGTGCTTCAGAGCGGCAGGAGATTGTAACTGAAGCACATCTCTGTCCGTTCTCCTCGCGAGTGAGAAAGAATCTAACTCTCTAGTCTTTCCTGACTTTGTTAATATGTGTTTTATAGGTGTTTAACCCTAACACCAGAACTCCGCCCACTCCGCCATGATGGGGGTCAGAGCCACCAGTGCCCCATTAAAGTCCCTTCCATTTAGTTCATTTCACTTTAAAATGGCCGTAGGGCGCGCGCGGTCGGCTGCACAGACAACCATCCAATCCAAACTTGTCATTTTATTTTAGAACTTGTAACGAAGGAAGATGGCGGCGATGGATAACAGCGGTCTGTCAGGAAGACTCTGTGGAACCAGATTTACAGCAAACACTTTTTACCAGGTAAGAAGATCATTACTGTATAAGTCGGTATGATTAGAAACATATCAAATATCACATTATGGAGAAGGATGCCCCACATTCATGTAGCTTAGCATGTATGGAAAGGAAACTGGTTAGCATCTGGTCTTCTGTACGTTTATAATGCTGCTCCAGTTTAAGAGGAAACACCATTTATGATCTATTAATATAATACATGTGAACTCAAGCAAAGTCGGATCAACTCCTCAGGAGGGAGGAGGTTTGGGTCGGTTTCTAAGCTAGCTTCTGTGCCACTAGAACCAAACTGGGCCTCCCAGCTGCCAGGCGATACAGGGAGTAAAGATATCTTATGATGATGTCAGTGATGATGTCACCTGGGCCACGGGGTCTCCCAGCAGGCTGCAGATGTGTGGGACGATCTTGCTCAGCGTCAAGCCTTGGGCTCCGGACCTGGAACAGAAACAAGTTGGGTCTGGTGCGTTCCTCAGGATGTGGTTCTGGTTCTGGTTCTGCTCACGTGTTCAGCGTGGCGATGAGACACAGGCACACTCCCTCTCTGGTCCGGTTGTTCTTATGCTTGAAGCCTCCCAGCATCCGGTCCCAGACATACTGGAACCAGAACCACAGGTCCACATCAGCACCAAACTCCGCCAGAACCAGCAGAACCAAACCCAGATGGGCCCGTTAGGGCTCGGTTCTGTTAGGGCTCCATTCTTGCTATGTCATGACTTTCTGTTTCTCTCTAACCTACTTCCTGTCATCAGTCCATCAGAACCAAACTGGGTTCAAAGGTTCAGTAAAGTTTAGCACAACTTTTCTCCAGATTCTGTTCCCAGTTTAATCAGAACAGCCGTCCAACAGAACCGCTCCCTGTCCGGACCCATCCATGTTGGTGCCAGTGGGGGGAACCGGGCCAGATCTGAACTACCTGAGGGGAGGCGGCCTGCTCCATAATCTTCAGCAGCAGAACCTGGTCCTGCTCCCTCACCTGGTCCCTGGCGTCTCCCAGCCGATCCATCAGGCTTGGCAGAACTGGAACAGAACCAGAACTGGCTAGACACGGGTCGGAACCAGCAGAGGCGCCGAAGAAGAGAGACTCACCCGTTCCGATGTGGGTTCTGAACCGGTCCTGGAGGCGGGTCACCAGAGCCGACAGGAGGTCCAGGCCCAGCAGATTCACCTGCAGAACAGACAGAACCGGGTCAGATCATTATATTAACAACAATATGAATTTATTAGCGCAAGCCTTTCTCCATGTGAGAGCTTAAAGCTGCTGATCCAGTCAGCAGCTGGGTCCATTTACAGTCCCAGAATGACTCATCCCAGTATCATCCCAGCATCATCCCAATATCATCCCAGTATCATCCCAGTATCATCCCAATATCATCCCAGTATCATCCCAGCATCATCCCAACATCATCCCAGTATCATCCCAGTATCATCCCAACATCATCCCAGTATCATCCCAACATCATCCCAGCATCATCCCAATATCATCCCAGTATCATCCCAGTATCATCCCAATATCATCCCAGTATCATCCCAGTATCATCCCAGTATCATCCCAGTATCATCCCAGCATCATCCCAGCATCATCCCAATATCATCCCAGTATCATCCCAGTATCATCCCAACATCATCCCAGCATCATCCCAATATCATCCCAATATCATCCCAGTATCATCCCAGTATCATCCCAACATCATCCCAGCATCATCCCAATATCATCCCAGTATCATCCCAGCATCATCCCAATATCATCCCAGTATCATCCCAGTATCATCCAGTATCATCCCAGCATCATCCCAGCATCATCCCAATATCATCCCAGTATCATCCCAACATCATCCCAGCATCATCCCAATATCATCCCAATATCATCCCAGTATCATCCCAGTATCATCCCAACATCATCCCAGCATCATCCCAATATCATCCCAATATCATCCCAGTATCATCCCAGTATCATCCCAACATCATCCCAGCATCATCCCAATATCATCCCAGTATCATCCCAGCATCATCCCAATATCATCCCAGTATCATCCCAGCATCATCCCAACATCATCCCAACATCATCCCAGTATCATCCCAGTATCATCCCAACATCATCCCAGCATCATCCCAATATCATCCCAATATCATCCCAGTATCATCCCAGCATCATCCCAACATCATCCCAGTATCATCCCAGTATCATCCCAGTATCATCCAGCATCATCCCAATATCATCCCAGTATCATCCCAGCATCATCCCAGTATCATCCCAGTATCATCCCAGCATCATCCCAACATCATCCCAGTATCATCCCAATATCCAGCATCATCCCAGCATCATCCCAATATCATCCCAATATCATCCCAGTATCATCCCAGCATCATCCCAACATCATCCCAGTATCATCCCAGTATCATCCCAGTATCATCCCAGCATCATCCCAATATCATCCCAGTATCATCCCAGCATCATCCCAGTATCATCCCAGTATCATCCCAGCATCATCCCAACATCATCCCAGTATCATCCCAATATCATCCCAGTATCATCCCAGCATCATCCCAACATCATCCCAGTATCATCCCAGTATCATCCCAGCATCATCCCAGCATCATCCCAGTATCATCCCAGTATCATCCCAGCATCATCCCAATATCATCCCAGTATCATCCCAGCATCATCCCAACATCATCCCAGTATCATCCCAGTATCATCCCAGTATCATCCCAATATCATCCCAGCATCATCCCAGTATCATCCCAGTATCATCCCAGTATCATCCCAATATCATCCCAGCATCATCCCAGTATCATCCCAGTATCATCCCAGTATCATCCCAGCATCATCCCAACATCATCCCAGCATCATCCCAACATCATCCCAGCATCATCCCAGCATCATTCCAGCATCATCCCAGTATCATCCCAGCATCATCCCAGTATCATCCCAGTATCATCCCAGTATCATTCCAGCATCATCCCAGTATCATCCCAGTATCATCCCAACATCATCCCAGTATCATCCCAGTATCATCCCAGCATCATCCCAGTATCATCCCAGTATCATCCCAGTATCATCCCAGCATCATCCCAGCATCATTCCAGTATCATCCCAGCATCATCCCAGTATCATCCCAGCATCATCCCAGTATCATCCCAGCATCATCCCAGTTGTAGTTGGCTGTCGGAGTTAGCATTAGTAGCTTGGAGTTGTAGCAAGCGGTTGTAGTAAGAAGCTGTAGTTAGCAGTTGTAGCTAGGAGCTGTAGTTAGCAGTCCTAGTTAGCAGTTGTAGCTAGCAGTTGTAGTAACCAGCTGTAGTTAGCAGTCCTAGTTAGCAGTTGTAGCTAGCAGCTGTAGTTAGCGGTAGCTACATTAGGTCGCTACCATCTTGGATGTGGCAGTAGAGCGACGGGAGCTCCACACTTCATGTCCTAGTTGGACTCGTTTCAATCATTTTAAAGTGCAAACTGGATCGACTGGCATTACCTTTCACAGGTAAAAATGAAAAGCAAAAAAAAAAAAACAATTTTACGAACAGTTACTTGATTTTGTGGCCAAAATGTAGCTTCTAAACAACCAAGAAGTATTAGCTAAACTGGTTTGAAGTTACTGTGTTATTTTTTAGCTTAGCTAACTTTTTTCAGTCTGGGCCGTTTTTCTAAAGAGAGTTCATGAGAAATGCTGTTAGAAGGGAAGTGGATTAGCTCCCAGTTGCCTGCAGTTCTCCTCCCAGAGAAACCAGTTCTGGGGGGATCGGCTGGTGTCTTCAGTCATGTTCCACGTCGTCAGTGTTTAGCTATACAGATGCTATGAGTCTGAGCCCCAATATGCTAAATTATGTTTTTCTGAATGTGGAGGAGGGATAAATTTTCTGTTACACTGTGAGATCATTTAAAAAAACATTTGTGGATATGTTTATTAATTTTTGTTAAAAAAACAACATAACACAGAACAAAAGCTCTGCAGTGCAGTCCATAGGAGACAAAAAGAAAAGATAAGATAGGGGGCATACATGTTTCAATCATTATATAATTCACATCTAAGCATTTATAAATGCTAGAGACAGTTTGGAGACACGTGTCCTTCAGCATCGTCCAAGAAGACCTTTATAATTTCATTTTCAACCTTCACTTTAGCCTGGATACCGGGACGCCTCCCAGTCACTGGACTGCCTGTGCCCAGTGTTCCCAGTGAAATGTAAATAAATCTGGATTTATATAAAAAGTGTAATGTACACTTTTTCCTTTCATTTTTTGAATATTTTTAAGTGAAATATGTCAATCTGAAGTATTAGGGTGTTAAGACAGTTTATGTAACTAAATAAAAATAATTGAGACTGTTACATCATCTTTGCTGTCCATAGCACAGCTGACATATTATACTGTATAAAATGGTAGCAAAAATGTATAAATCAATGGCTGATTTATCAAAGTTTATTAATTTCACAATAAAATAGATAGAAATTAAAAAGAAATAGTATTTTTTATCTTGAAATGTGAAGCGAACATTGAATTATGGAATTGTGTCAATATGTTGATAAATATATCCAATTCATCAAAGCCAATATAAAAACGATCAGAATCAATCATAAACATTGTGCTCTTTATTTAGAAAGCCCAAAACAATTCAATGTTCACATCAAAAAGTTAGAAAAAGGGTTTTGTTTGTGAGCCAGCGACATTCACTTCAATACTTTGTAGAACGGCGCTTTGGAACTTCCTCCATTTATATTAGCTTACTGGCAGATACGCCAAATTCAATATGGCGGACGCCGTGACCTATCGCATCAACGAGCCGACATGTCCAATGAGGCGTCATCGTTTTCGCGGCTCCGGCTGCAGCCGCCTTCGGGCGACCCAAACATCTGCCTGACGGAAAAATGAACCTCATAACATATGAGATTAAATATGGCTGCTGCAACATCTCAGGCCGTTTCACTTTAGGTACGAGACATTGGACCGGGACACAAAGAACTAGGCCGAGCCCACAACCGGTTCCTGTGCCGGGTCCAGAACCAGGTCCAAAATGAAACATTAGACTAAACTCTGCAGCAGCCTGAGCTACAGACGCCTCTGAGCAAAGACTGCACCAGTTCACTCTGGTTTCTGGAGCGGTCTTCCTCCAGAGACCCGAACCCGGTGTGACCAGAACCCGGTTTGACCAGAACCCCATGTGACCAGAACCCGGTGTGATCAGAACCCGATGTGATCAATCAATCAATCAATCACATTGTATTTGATTAGCACATTTCAGCAGCAAGGCATTTCAAAGTGCTTTACATCATAAACACAAGAACACAAAGTCATGCAACATAGAATAAACGATACATTGTTGCATATTACATTTCAAATGAAACTCTAAACAGAATGTGTTTTTAATTGAGATTTAAAGGAAGTCAGGGTTTCTGCTGTTTTACAGTTTTCTGGAAGTTTGTTCCAAAGTTTTGGTGCATAGATGCTGAAAGCTGCTTCTCCTCTCTTGGTTCTGGTTCTGGGGATGCAGAGCCCGATGCGATCAGAACCCGGTGTGATCAGAACCCGATGCGATCAGAACCCGATGTGATCAGAACCCGATGCGATCAGAACCCGATGCGATCAGAACCCGGTGTGATCAGAACCCGGTGTGATCAGAACCCGATGCGATCAGAACCCGATGCGATCAGAACCCGGTGTGATCAGAACCCGATGCGATCAGAAACCGCTCTAACAGAGGTGGAGTGTCTCCGCTGCGTCCTACAGGCAGAGACGAGGCCCGTCAGAGGGGAACCACGGGACGGGCCGTGACGCCAGCCGGGCCGCTCTGAGGCCCTAAGGCTGAGCACTAAAAACAGAAACGGGAACCGAACCGGGTTCTGGAGAGTCAGCTGAGCCTCAGCAGCAGAGCAGCGTGACGGCCTGTCTTCACCCCGTGCTGCTGCTCCCAGCATGCACTGCTGTCCACAGACACCTGGTGTCATCGGGCTCTTTGCAGGTCAGCTTCCGCGTTTGGGGAAAAGCGGATCGGCCGTTTCCAGTCCGATGAAAATATCATTTTACACTCGGTGCCTGCAGGGCTTGTCCAAAATAACAGCTAATGATGAACATCGACCCGAAGCTGGAGGAAGGTTTTCAGGCGTACGTCTCGTTATACGTCCACGGATACGACGGTGTCTTTTACCTTCTTTAAACCTTGTGGCTAACATCAACTGGAGCTTATGCTAGTAGGAAATATTCTCTGACATTTTTATTGCAATTTGTTTCCTTTAAAAAGTATGGAAGCATTTTAATCCATTCTAACAGACAATGTTTCTACCTTATTTTGTGTTTATTTTCAAGTATATTAGATGTGTTTACTGTCGTTAGTGTCAAACAGACCAAGAACCGGGTCACGGTTCAGTTTTTGCTTCAGAACCAGGAGGAAACACAACAAGCCCAGAGCTCAACAGAACCGCAGCTCTGGAGGCGGAGTTTGGGTCCAGCTGACTGTTCGGGTTCAAAGTTGTTGCTTTTAGAAAAATATGTTGCTGAAGGTCTCCGTGTTTTATTACATTATTATTACATCATGTTATTACAGGCGGATCAGTTAATCTGGTCTGCTCACCTGTTCCCATAGAGGCTGGATATAGAAATGATTCCACAGAAATAACTATTATTGAACAGGAACAATCTAGAGTTATAGATCTATAAGTATAGATCTATAGATTTAGTTATTTAGATCTACAGCTCTGTAGATCTAGATTTATACATCTAGAGTCAGCTTCAGTTGTTCCAGCTGTGAACCAGAGATCATGCTGACCTCTGACCTCTGACCCGAGCCTCCAGAGCCACATAAAGCCGGTTCCAAAGTGAGCCGTGCTGCAGAACATTTCTAAAGGCTCAGGTCAGAAACTCATCCAGGATTCGTTTAAATCCTGCTGGTAGTTTATAATCCCTGACCGGATCAAAGATCTGCAGACCCTTTGGTTCTGGTTCTGGAGGCAGAGCAGAACCAGAACCAAAACCCAACATGGACAAGCAGCATTCAGCTTCTATGCAACAAACCCTAACTGCAACCAGCTGAAACGCTGAGTTGCTTTCAGGCTAAACCAGCTGCTTGGACTTTCTTAGTAAGAAGTGGAACGTGGATTATTATGGCCTGGATTGGAGCGGCTGACCTTTAAGCCGGCCTAAAGGTCAGACGGCTCTGCAGAGACAGACAGAAGGACGTTTGGTCAGAAGGACAATTGGACAACAAAGCCAAGTTCCTGTGGTGCTGATTCAGACGATCCCAGCATTCTTCTTCTGTGGTGTCATGGCGGCTCATCATGACTGAGAAGCTGCTCGGCTGGTTGCTGCAGCAGCAACATAATAAGCTGCTATGACGGGATGTTTTAGCTTCCAGGCGGCAGCTCTGGCAGGTTCTGACCCGATCAGAGAGGCCGATGTTCCAACTCAGGGCTTTGGAGCGCAGGGGGCGGGGCTTACTGCTGCCTCCGCTGTGATTGGCTGACTTGGAGACCAGAGAGACCAGTGAAAATAGTGCACTGACTGGATTTACTGGATCCAGCCACTGGTATGTTCTGCTTTACTGCTGTTGGTTCACTGGGAAGACTGGGAGCCACACAGCGAGGTGAACCAGAACCTCCTTCAGTTTCATGAGGATTAATTCAGCTGGCCAGTCGCCTGCTTCAAGGAACCCAGTAGAACCCAGTAGAACCCAATTGGCTCCGTCATGGTGCCTGCCACTGGTGTTGCCAACTGATCAGTAAATGTAATCAGATTACTCTGTGTGGCTCAGAGTAACCAGGATGGGTTGCTCCCAGCTGTTCTGGTTCCAGCAGGAATGAAGACAAGCCTCCAGCCAATCACGTGCAAGAAACCATCTGGGTTTTTCTGCAGCAGGAAGCAGTCAACCTGTTCTGGGGACAGAGTTCATTTCCCAGTCCTCGGTGCCCCGCCCCTTCCTGCTGCCGCCCTGGGTGGCTGCCCATTCAGCCACTGTTTCACTGTCTCAAACCAAACATGTCTGAAGAGCCGCAGCTCTGCAGGGACGGATTAAAGGAAGCTATTTTGTTTTAAACGTTGAGAAACGTTCACTTCCTGTGGAACTGGCGCCGCCAGGCGACCGCCGTCCTTCGTGAAACACGTAGATGTTCACACTGATGATGCAACACAAGCTGGGGTTGGCGTTTGCTGCAGCACAAGTTCCTGGACGATGAATCGCCCCAGAAGTTATTGCGATAAACGGTAATATTGTTATTTTGAGACCAAATAATACAATGTTCTCACATAAATAAACTATAACTTCATAGGAACATTTAACACTCCAAGACATTTTAAATATCTAAAACAAAAAGAGAAACAAATAAAATGGATAAATGTGTGTAAATAAAAGGTTTATCAGAGACTGAAAACTGTCATCCCGATTCTGCCGAAAGAGAAAAACCATAAATCATAAAAATTATTGATCTCGTTTTAATTTATCATGTCACTAATTTATTTATCGCGACTGGCCTCGATAACCTGCCAATGCTTCAATGCAACGTCATTAATCCAAAAGCTAAATGATTAGCCCATAGCATGACGGATCCTCCACCATGCTTCCCCAGAGCAGCTAGCAGCAGCTATAAGCAGCTAGCAGCAGGCTAGCAGCAGCTAGCAGAAGGCTAGCAGCAGCTATAAGCATCTAGCAGCAGGTAGCAGCAGCTAGCAGTAGGTAGCAGCAGCTAGCAGCAGGCTAGCAGCAGCTATAAGCACCTAGCAGCAGGTAGCAGCAGCTATAAGCAGCTAGCAGCAGCTACAAGCAGCTAGCAGCAGGTAGCAGCAGCTATAAGCAGCTAGCAGCAGCTATAAGCAGCTAGCAGCAGGCTAGCAGCAGACCGTCACTAAGAGCATGTTAGTGATGCTGTGACAGGAAGAAGAACGATGCTATTGTTAATGATCTGACAACTGATCACTTTTCTTATCCAAATCATTCCCCGAAGCTCATTAGGGGGCGCCAAAACGAAGCCGATTAGCTAATATAAAGGATTTCTGCTCTGTTTCCATTGCAACAAGTTGCCAGAGGTCCCAGAGGTCAGGCTGCATCCATCATGACCTGACTGAACGGATCAGCAGCTAGAGTACCACCGGGTCAGGACACTGGATGGAGGCTCCGTGTCCTTGCCCCACAGCATCACCCCTCACCTGCCGTGCTCCAGCTGCATTTACCTTGAAGTTGCTGGAGTTGACCCAGGAGCTGGCGACGGCGTCCACCATCTTGTCCAGCGCCGTCTGGTCCTGCTCCAGTTCGGGGGACTTGTTCCTGTCCAGGATGTAGTCGATGACTTCCTGTCCCACCTGCAGCCGCCGGCCCACATCCTTCTGCAGGACCTGCGCCAAGCAGCTCTCCATGCTGGGCTCCATCGGCGCGCCGGCTCCGACCGGACCGGGTCACGGACCCGAGGAACAGCCACTAGCTCAGTGTAGAGGGACGGACGCAGCGGGGACCTGGGAGCGGCAGCAATGCAGCATGTGTGGACAGCAGCAGAGGGGGGCTGGTTCTGCAGGGGTTGGGAAGCGGGTCGGGTCGCTGGATCAAGAATCCATGTCTTCGTCCTGCCACTGTCCAATGTTGTCCTGGAGGGAAGAGACAAGAAGCAGTCAGAGTGGGACAGACCAGCACCAGAACCCGGCACCGGGCCGGGTTCTGGTTGGTTGGTGACATGAAGGGAGCCATTTGTTCCCAGCTCCAAAATCATCGCATTTCCACAGACATTCTGACCTGCTCTTTTATTCACATCAGATCAATCAAAGGCATTTTAACCCAGATTGCAGAATGGACCCAGTACCAGGGCTGGGCTCGGTACCGGTCCGGGTCCTTCATAACTGCAGCAGCAGGTGGCTCCGGTAACGGCAGCCATGTTTCCACCATTCTTTAAGCGATTTTTGAAGTACAACTTTGTGAGTTTGATAGCTTGTATGAAACTTGCTAATGCGCTGCAGGTCAGACAGAAACATGCTAGCTAAGCTGTGGCAGAGCGAACACTGCCACCCACTGGTGGATCTGAGTATTACCAGAGGAACCAGCCATCAGACCTCCTGGAGGGCGGGACTCTCCTGCTTGCTAGAAACCTCCACTTCCTGTTTTACTACAGCCATGTGGGGCCTCAGTTTCTGATGACATCACGCTCTGCGTAGCCTGGCTGATTTGCTCCAAACCAGGAGCCTAATACGCATTTAATGCAAGATTTCAAAGGCATGCTAATAATTTACGGAGCCCCATAGGGGACATGGGGACAAATGTTTGTTTCGAGTTCCCTCGCAAAACTGTACTGATCAGTTAACGATTAGACACTGTAAGCCTTTCGTACGGCGGCCGCTGTACTTTCTACTTCAATGAAAGGTTATGTGAGGTTTTTGCATGAATGTTAATATCTTGTGAAATATCTGACATTTTATGTTTCTTTAGGATAGAAAGGAACCAAAAACCTGATATCAACAGAAACTTTCTGTAACTAGAAAATAAATAAAAATACATCCTAATTTGGATTATTTCTGAGTTATTATTGCAGGTAATAAATCATCTAACAGTTTTGATCGTTTTCTACTCTGAATGGTCTTCATGTTCAGTTCCATCTCAACCTTAACAAACATAAACATGCAGTGAATAAATTGATTTTCAATCAGCTTTTTGCAACAAAGACTTAATAATAATAAACAGGTTTTATTATTATAAATCACAGTAAACTAATGGTGGTCGAGGGTCGCACTGGGTTAACTGGGAATCTATCAATCAACTCCTAATCAATTCTTTGTTCTGTCCCAATTATCGATTTATTCCATCTTGATTATTAGGCTCCAAAGTGCCAGGACTGACCAGCCGCTCACCGCTTCCTCACAGCCAGCAGGACAGTGACCCTCACTCATACCTGATGACGTCACGCCCACATGGACACGCCCACCACCAGATGTCAAAGCCTCTGCTGCTGTCATATCAATAATTAGTTATTTCATTCATACGGCTCTTATAGAGCCTCAGTGAAACATGTTTATTATTATTATTAAGTCTTTGGTGCAAAACACTGATTGAAAATCGATTTATTTATTGCATGTTTAAGATGAAACTGAACATGAAAGCAGCTCTTAAACCATTCAGACTAAAAAACAACAGACACAATCAAAACTGTCAGATGATTTATTACCCTGCGATAATAACTCAGAAATAATCCAAATTAAGGTTTGTTTGTTTTTATTTCCTACTGCCTGAAGGTTTCTGTTTATATCAGGTTTATGGTGCCTTTCCATCCTAAAGAAAAAGATATAAAACTTCAGGTATTTCACAACAAAATATCAACATTTATGGAAAAACCTCACACAACCTTATACTAAAGTAGAAAGTACAGTGGCCACTGTAAGAAAGGATTATATATCCCAGTTCTCACCCATCTTTGGAAACAGGGACTTTGGTCCAGGTAGAACTGACCCGGGTTTTAAACTCTGGTCTGCTAAGGGGTTAGCTAAGGTATCTGATCTTTTTATAGGGAGAGTATTTATGTCATTCGAAGAACTTAAAAACAAACATGACATTCCTAGTAAACATTTCTATAAATATCTTCAAGTTCGGAATTTCATTTTATCCAAGCAACAAAATAACCTTGATCTGCCCTCTTTGTCTTCATTAGAAGACATTATCATCAGCCACCTATATGGCAGAGGACAGGTGTCTCTAATTTATTCCTTGTTGGTTGACAACTGTAAGGAATCTTCGACTAATATCCTAAAAGCATGGGAAGTGGACTTGGGAGAGAACTTATCGAGTGAGGAATGGTCATTAGCTTGCACTTCGATTCACACACAATCTGCTAACATAAATTCCAAATTATTACAATACAAATGGCTGACTAGGCAATACATCACTCCAGCTAAACTGCATAATTTTAATCCTAACATTCCTGATACTTGCATTAAATGTACTTCCCAAAAAGGTTCTTTATTTCATTGTATGTGGGCGTGTCCTCGAGTGTTAGCATTTTGGAAAGAGGTATTGATTGTGATAGGTCAGATGATTGATAAAAAGGTTCCTTTGGATCCTAAAATGTGCATCTTGAATATTTATCCTGAGGACTTTGTTCTCCCAAACAACTTGAGATCCTTACTTAATGTCTCCTTTTTGGAAGCTAAACGTTGCATTGCACTCTCTTGGAAGAAAAGGACATTATGTGGAATTTCACAATGGACCACACAAATGACATTCTACTTTGCACTTGAGAAAATCAGTTACTTTACTAAGAATAAGCTTGATAAATTTTGGGTGGTCTGGTCTGTCTTTTACACTTGGCTGTGCCAAAATGACATCCAACTTGATGGATGGAAAGATGGATGGCTATAAGGCCATATGGTAAGACAAATTGATGTTTACAGTTGGTCAATCGAGGGTCTGCTGCAGCCCCCCCCTCGTTTTTTTTTTTTTTTTTTTTTAATTATTATTATTATAGTCTACCCTGTGTATATGCTCTTTGGGTTTTTCTCTGGTATAGGTTTATGTTCTAAGTATTTGTAAGTGTATGAATGTATGTATGTATGTTCCTTTTTCTTCTGTGCTTTTGGTTTTTGTAAGTGTACATATGTATGTTTCTTGTTCTTCTGTTAAAATCTATAAATAAATGCTTCAAAAAAAAAAAAAAGAAAGGACTATAGTATTCAATTATGCCTCATAACTGATCAATAGATCATTGCAAGGGAACTCAAAACAAAAATCTTTTCCCATGTCCTCTGCAGAACTCCATGACAAACATGGCTAAAAAGATTAGTCAATCCCTACCAGGCTGTTGCTTTTGCTACCAGTTCTAGCATTTCTTCCTTCCACTCAACTTTCCCCTAAAAGCATCTGCATCCTGAGCAGCTTTCCCTCTATGGACCACTAGCACACCAGAACACGAGCAGCAGCAATCCATTTCAGTGGTTCTGATCCAGTTCTGACAAGTGGGAGTCGGGGGCTGGGGCATCTTAGGGTTTACCAGGTGGGGGTCTCAGGTTTTGGCAGGTGGGGGTCTCAGGTTTTGGCAGGTGGGGTCCCAGGGTTTGGCAGCTGCTGCTGATGTCTTTCCACCCTGGCATGGAGTTAATTTCACCCTGAAGCCCCAGGCAGCAGACAGCACCAGTTTCTGGTCCAGGTTCTGGCTAGATAAAGCTGCAGTGTCACATGATGCTGTCTGGATCTCCATCCTGGTGCACCAGACCTCCCCCTCCCTAGCTTAGCTCCGCTCCAGCTAGCCGCAGCCTCCCCGGCTCCGCGCCCCCAGTGGACCGCGGGCAGCCCTGGGTCCGCTCCGGGAGCCTCCGTGGAACCTCCCGCCTGTCTTCAGCCTCTGCGGCCGCTTTCCCAGCGGGAAGCCCGGCAGTAAGCAGCCGACCCAGCTACAGCTAGCTGCCTTTGAATGAAACGTCAGTTCGCAGCAACAAAAGAAAACTGGGGGCGGGAGGGCCGAAGAGGAGCAGCTTCATCGTTCCAGTGAACACTCACCATTTCCCGCCGCAGACTCTCCGGGCCGCCCGCTCTCCGCTTCGGGAGGACAGCTTCAGTCCGCGGCCTCAAACCGCTCCTCTTTCCGCCTTTCTATCAACTCTCCAGCAGGAATGCTGCCTGAAGGACAAGAATGGGGATCGGCGTGCGCACGCGCAGTCCATCCAGAGATGATGTTGGCACTTACAGAACTGTCGCATGGAGAAGCGGCCGCTCGATCTCTGGCGACACCTGGCGGCCAGGGCCGGACTGCGCATGTGTGGATCATTGAGAACCAGGTTTATGTAGCTTTAACTCGGTTTCCACAAATAAGTAAACATATAAATATTAGAAGAAATGCACAATATTTACGCATATTTGCAACAATTTTTATTTATAATAAAATTAGACTGTAAACTAATTTGAGTCAATATATGATTAAATATTTACTCGTTTTTTTAAAGAGCTCTAACTGCTGGATTGCTCTGTGGCTTCAGAAGAAGCTACAGGGGGACGAAGGCCTACAGGGGGACGAAGGCCTACAGGGGGACGAAGGCCTACAGGGGGACGAAGGCTTACATCAGTTACCCAGGAGACAATTTGAAATCAATTCCTTATGTAATGAAGTGTCACAGAAACAGTTTTATTCTTTAACAATGAATTAATAATCAAGCTTGAGCCAAACTGAGGATCCATCTGGTCGATCAGGAATCTGGCCGATCAGGGATCTGGTCGCTGCTGCTCTGAGTATTTTATTAAACTGAAATATTTTCCTGTTTTTCTTTCTTTGGTTCTGTCCCAGTAAAACCCGCCTCACTGCAGAGCGACGCCCAGCTGCCTTAACCATGAAACTGCTGTTAGCGTCATTGTTAGCACTAATGCTAGCACCAATGCTGGCGCCGGTATTAGCGCAGGTGTTAGCACTGCAGCAGATTGGAGCTCATAGGTCTGAAAACATCCGTCTGGGTTCATTGGACCAGCATCATGACTGAGACGGCCCAGAAGGTTCTGACTGATCCAGTGGATCACCAGCTGACCAGCGGGGAACATGTGGTCTGTTTGTTTGGGAACTTTGGGGGGTCCGTGTTTTGGTCATGTGACACAGCCCATGTTTTCCCTGGCTGGTCCGGATCAGGCCCAGATTTCGGGCCGGTCCGCTTGTCTGCTGCAATGTTAGAGAATATTCTCTAACGGACTGACAAGAACACGTTCTTCATCATAGCAATAACAATAATAAAGCAGGAAGCAGAGCCAGCCTGGACCAGCCCGGTTCTGTTGGACCAATCGGGTCACTCCGGCTCCAGCCTGGAGGTAGAAACTGTCCCAGTCCGCCTTAAATACTGAAACCCTTCATTGGGCCTCCTCTTCGTCCTCAGAGCTGTCAGAGTGCTCCTCTTCCTCCATGTTGCAGTCATCATCATCATCATCGTCTTCCTCTGCCGCCGGCATCTTCAGGATGATCTCACTGTCCTCCTCGTCGTCCAGGACGACCGCAGACTTCCTCCTCTCCAGGAAGGACGGCGTACAGACGGGCGTGGTCTGCTGAGGAAGAGGAGGAGGAGGAGTCAGGTTGATCAGAACCAGCAACGAGGAAGATCAAAGAGATCAATATCATAAAATCATCACACCAACTAATCACCAGGAACATTTGAGCAAATATATCAACTATCAATGCACATCGATCACAGTGATTGATGATCCAGTTGCTATGGTGAATCATCTGTGTCGTCATGGGAACCAGTCATGTGGGGGCGTGGGTTTCACGGCGCCACCACCGGCAGGCGGCCAATCAGCTTTACGCCCCGCCTTCATGTGGGCCCGAGTATCTGACCCGGAGCCACGGACCGGCACCGGGCCATTTTCAGTACGGGCCGGAGGACCGGCATGTCCGGAACCGGCGGCCGGACTCACATCGCTGCAGGACGAAGCGTCCAGGACGCCGGAGGTCGACTTCTTCTGGGCCGCCTGGACCAGAACGGGAAGAACCGGTAAGAACCAGAACATCAGAACCAAACTGCTTCCACGAGAAAAGTTGCATCAGAACCAGGGAAAAAACCACAGGCCCACTGACCCGGAGCCAACGGACCCGGGCTCTGATCCGGTTTCAACATCACTTACAAATCCAGGGAAGTCGTACTGGACCCCCTGCCGGGCCAGCTTCCTGCGCAGCTGCGACTCCTTCCTCAGCAGGCGGCCGGTCATGGCGTCCAGCTGCTCCGTCGAGCGGTACCGGTTGTACCGGGTCACGGCGGGCCGGGTCGGCCTGCGGAACGTCTTCTGGGACCCGACGAACAGCTTCTCGTGGACCTTCTCTGGAGGCAGAACCTCGCCTGGACAGGTGGAAGGAACCGGATCAGAACCAGAACCTGAACCCGAGCCCGGTCCTGGAGGTTCTACTCACACTTGATGAGCCGTTCCCCCATCAGGTAGTTGTTCATGGTTTCTGCGACGATCTTGGCCACATCGCTGCTCTCGAACTCGATGAAGGCGAATCCTTTGCTGCCGCCGGTCTGCAACAGAGATGACATCATCACTCCCTGTTGCTACGGTAACCACAACAGGCGGCTACAGGTAACCTCCGGGCGGACCCAGTCGGCTCTGGACCCAGTCGGCTCTGGACCCAGTCTGAACTGGACCCAGTCGGCTCTGGACCCAGTCGGCTCTGGACCCAGTCGGCTCTGGACCCAGTCGGCTCTGGACCCAGTCTGAACTGGACCCAGTCGGCTCTGGACCCAGTCGGCTCTGGACCCAGTCGGGACTGGACCCAGTCGGGTCTGGACCCAGTCGGCTCTGGACCCAGTCTGAACTGGACCCAGTCGGCTCTGGACCCAGTCGGCTCTGGACCCAGTCTGAACTGGACCCAGTCGGGACTGGACCCAGTCGGAACCGGACCCAGTCTGAACTGGACCCAGTCTGAACTGGACCCAGTTGGGACTGGACCCAGTCTGAACTGGACCCAGTCTGAACTGGACCCAGTCGGCTCTGGACCCAGTCGGCTCTGGACCCAGTCGGGTCCCTCCGGGTCCAGTCCCACTGAGCCGTTCTTGTTTTCTGACCTTTTTGCTCCTTGACAGCCGCAGGCGCAGGACCGTCCCAAACTGCTCAAAGTATGACCGGAGCTGTGGCTCGAACAGCCCCAGAGGAAGATGGCCGACATACACCACACCTGGAGTTAACCGGCTCCCCTGGAGAACAAAGAAACCAACAGGAAGTGATGTCATATGACGTTGGTGAGATGATTTAAACTAAAACACATGTTCAAGCTGCTGCAATCAACCTGAAGGAGGTTTGCTGACCTGCTGACCCCCCACTGACTTTCTGCTTGACTCAGAGCAACACTTTCAGCCTGATTCATTACTTTCCTAAAACTGTGAAGGTAAAAAGAAAAGTTGTTCTCAGGATATTGGGAACAAGTGTTGGGTGTTCATATCATCATGAGAAATTGATTTAGCGCTCTGGTGACTGGGCCCCTGCGGCCCCCCTTTTAGGGCCGCCCATGGTTCCACCGGGTTTTTTTAAACCTGTTTTTGTCTATTTGTTTAATCAACAGGAACCGGAACCGCAGATTTAAGAGCTGGAAATCCCGCCTGTGTGAAATGAACCATATAATGAGATAAAGTTCCTGAAACTATTGAATTTGTTATCCTAATTTATTGACCGGTTCTGCTGACCTGGACCCAGTCCAGCGAGATGCTTTGGACCAAACCGGAGCTCGGTTCTGGTCGTGCTCACCTTCCCGCCGCGGTTCTTCTTCTTCACCTCGCGGACCTTGTTCTTGAACTCGGCCTCCTGCTGCGGGTTCAGCGCCAGCAGCTCTCTGGGCCGCTGCGGCGCGGCCTCCGCTTTGCTCTCGGTCATTTCACCACTTTATCTCCAGGTCCACTCGGTTCCGAAGCTCCTCGCGCTGCTCCTCCTCAACATGTGCTGCACCCGAGGCGACAGGAAGTGCAGCGTGATGCGGAGCTGCGTCACAGCGTGATGCGGAGCTGCGTCACAGCGCCCCCTGCAGGCCTGGGGGTCGATCGGCTCCTCAATCGGTTTTAAGCTGATTGAAGAAAAATGAAGCTGATGTTAGCAGAAAAAACAGTTTTCAAACGACTCATGTGGAGATTTATCCCGAAACAAATGTAATTTATATGAGAGTAATGCGCTGCAGCGGACGGAAGAGGGAACACTTCCGCAATCACGTGTTTCTGACGCATTTCCGCCATTGATGTCATTCTCTTTCTTTAATGAAGTTTATTTAAATTGCAAAGAGAGGCAGATTAAGAAATGGGAATGCAACAGTATCATTAATAAAGAAAAATATAAACTAATCATAACTAAAATAGCAACAAATGAATCCATATTTCAGGGCTAACATGCCTGGCGGCCAGTTCCATTCATATCAGTCAGGTTTTTAGATATTCAACACATTTCAGAGATTTCAATGGAACTGGAATTCAGATTAAGATCATGTTAAAAACTGCAGGTGATCTCAGCTCAGTTTATGAATGAAACAATTTGCCAGACAAAATATTACAGCAGAGCTCTATTGTTTTGTTTTTCAATAACACTCCAAAAGTTACCATATCTCTAGAAATAGATTCTGGAAGTGCAATTTTCAATTTGTTCCACCTTTCTATTTAATGTAAATTAATGCACCAGCTTGGACCTAAGAGGAGAAGCGAGCAGCACAGACGCTGCGTGGCAGCTGCTACAGCACAGGGAAGTACGAGTCGGCAGAGAGAGCGGTGTTAGGTTTAGGGGTTTAGGGGTTTAGGGGTTAGGTTTAGGGGTTTAGGGGATAGGTTTAGGGGTTAGGATTAGGTGTTTAGGGGTTAGGATTAGGGTTTCTGCTCAATGCACCTGCAGAAGGACAGCAGGTTGCTGTAGCTCTTGACAGCAACCTAAATTTTATTGGTTATTGAATTTTTGGTCAGTGAATGATATTCCATTAATAGATAAATTTGGTAATTGTGGGGTCATTGGATCATGTGTTATATTTTTAATCTGATTAATAAATGGTTTTGGTAAGGCATTATATGATCTGGTAAATTCAGCTCTTATGTTAGTAATTTATAATCTGAATTTCTGAGTGTTTTCTGTCTGGTTTCCATGTAATAATCTCTTGTTTTATTGCAGTCGGTATAATGTGATTTTTAAACATTTCTGTAAGCTGCATTAATATTTTATTGTTTTTCCAAAGTGTTTATGAAAGTTTCCAGCCAGTCCATCCAACCCGCTGCTTCGTTTAATGATTAACAGCCTTAATAAGTTCTAATATTGTAATATTGTTGTCATAAGTTTATAATTATCCTCCATTTTAGGGAAAATGTTTGAATTTCTTTAAGAACATGTGAGATTTTGGTTTTGAGAATTTGGAGGAATGTAAATTGTTATCTAATTTAAATCTGTTGATGTGAATCTTTCATTGTTGGTTTCTACATTAGTTATTATTCAGGATTTGGTAGAATTTAGTTGTCTTTTTTACAAAGCTCTGCGTTTTTTCTCCTGCTGGATTCGTTTCCTGATCGAATCAAACATTTTGGATAAACATTTCATCTCGTTCAGGTTGGAGGATTCACATTTTGTTTGTGTTCCGTTTATTGCAATATATATTTAACCAGTTTTGAGGTTGTATTTGTGAGGAAATAAGACTTTGATCAACGGAGCAGCAGAAATATCTGAGTTGATTTCATTGGTCAATAATTAATTTGTTATGAGCCAATAATCAATTCTTGATTTGCTATTTGAACCATGAAAATTTCATCCAGTTGGGATTAAGATGACGCCGCACGTCAGCTAGATTTTGTTCATTGCAGAAATTGTAACATATTTTGTTTGGGTAACTTGAGTTATGTTTAGAAAGTCATTTATCATAAAGTTCATCTGGAACGAGTCGAGATTCCCAACGATTATATTGTGTGTCGAGTAAAATGATTTCAGGTGATCCAAGTTCAGGGATGTTTCCTCCAGCAATCATTTGTTCTGGTTTAGATTATTATAACCATCTAAACTGAACAAAATAAGTCGTGAGTTATGCAAACAGACAGTGAGGAATAACCAGTGACCATTTCCATCCATTTTACTGGACATGATCTGACCTGGAGGTTTTTAGAAGAACAGCGACCCCTGCTGACCTTCAGGAGCCACGACAGGAAGAAGCTTCATCCTAATGAATGTTTGGGGGCCCCTGAAGGGCCCCTACCTGCAGCTCCTGAGTTCTCACTGCCTTCATATCCCAGTCTTATGATTCTAGATCTGGAGATGCTAACATAGAAAACATTATCTAGAGTTAAACTGTTTGAGCTTTTTAATCATCTGCAGCCAAGTTGTTCCAGAGGTTAAATAGATATTATTAGGGCTTCATTAGTAAAATGGCAGGAAATGTAATAACTTTATAACCTTTGACCTTCTCTCCTGGCCTGTTTAAAGTTGTTTTAAAATGCTTTATAAATAAAGTTGGTTTAACAGCTTCAGTCTCAGATCAGCAGCAGAAACAGAAACTTTATTCCTGTTGGAGAAATATGGACATTTGCTTTGCATTAGCAGTGATTGGTTATTGATCACTATGGGTTATTGATCACTATGGGTTATTGCTATGTTGTTGTTCAATGTTTTTCTTCAATGTTCCCTTTTTTAACTCTGAACCCTGAAAGGTCTCTACACGGCCCTGACTTTATTACAACTTTGTAATAATATGGAGACATGAACACAGGAAGAGGAGGGGAGGAAGAGGAGGGAGGAAGAGGAGAGAGGAGGAGGGAAGAAGAGGAGGGAGGAAGAAGAGGGGAGGAAGAGGAGAGAGGGAGGGAGGAAGAGGAGGGAGGAAGAGGAGGCAGCGTCTCTCTGGGATCAGACTGCAGCAGCTCCCGCTGCAGCAACATGGCGTCCAAAACGATTCACTTCACCATCAACGGGATCCCGGAGCGGGCCGAGTTTCCAGGAGACTGTCCGGCTCAGGAGGTCAAAGGTCAGTCTGGAGTTTTCATCTGTTTGGTTTTTCTGCTTCTTTCGGTTCATTCAGGAAAAGTCAAAGTGTTGTCATGGCAGCAGCGACCAGAACCCAGACAGCACAAGACGGGTCCATATTGGTTTCATATTGAATCAATAAGGTGTAATATTGATTCATGCAGGTCTGCTGTGGCAGGTCTGCTGTGGTAGGTCTGCTGTGGTAGGTCTGCTGTGGTAGGTCTGCATCGTAACGTCTTCTGGCTTGGAGTCTTTTCTATCATTCATAATTATCTATAAATGATTCTCTTAACCATGACGACCTGCCATTAACGTAGCATTTATGCAAACAACACATTTGACTCCTGGTGACAGTCAGAACATGAAGAGCAGCATCCATGAGGTCCAGTCCGGTTCCGTACAAACCAGGAAACGGGCCGACCCGGCTCCGACGGCTCCGACCCGGCTCCGACCCGGCTCCGACCCGGCTCCGACTCGGGTCGGCGTCACTTTGCCTCCCGATGTTTTGCTGCCGTGGCGCCTAATGAAGCCACTTGCTGTGGTTTCCCTGCAGTCGGTCGGCTCTGGGCCAAAGCAGCAGCTGAAACACGGAGCAGAGGGAGGAAGGCAGAAAGACCATAAACATCAGAAACGTTCTGAAAGACGTGGAGATGTGAAATAGTGTCCTGGAAGAATCACAGAGCGTTCGGCTCCCATGTTCACTCAGTCATATTAATAAGGACCCGCTCATGAATATTCATTCAGATTTATGTCAATGTTAGTCGACATACACAATCACATTCACTCTCGTTAAAATGATGGCATCACCTCTATGATAGCTGCAAGCTCCACTCCCGACATGTTTGACCAAACGTTAGTGAGCTTCAGTGAGTGACAGATGGACGGATGACCTGCCGTTTCAGATCTGTTTCGCTCTGCAGCCGAGGCCGGACCTCACGACATCCTGAAACTCTACGACCCCAAAGGGAACATCATCAACATCTGCCCCGGCCTGGAGCCCAACTGCCCCGCCTCCCGCTACAGGCTGGAGGTGGTAGCTGCCGACTGCAACAGCGAGCCGCTAGGTAAGCTAACACCGTGAGGCTGCTCTCGGCGCCACCTGGTGGTCATCTGTTTCCTTCTCCCTGCAGGGAGCTTGCCTGCTGAGCTTGCCGGTGCGCTTGGATTCGATCTGTCATCCATGGAGAAAAGGTAGACGCTCCGGTAGCAAACGTCCGGAATGATGTGGGATCCTGGCTGGACGGCAGCTGCAGGCTGATGTGCTGATCTGTCCCAGACTGCAGGCCCTGGAGAAGAAGGTCTTGTCTGCGGCTGGAGAGACGCCTGCCGTCGTGCTGGAGATGAAGAAACAGGTGGACTGCTTCCGGGAGAAGCTGGAGGTATCGGCTCATGCTGTTTCCTGACCTCTGACCCTGACCGACGGTTTGATGCTGGGCCGGTTGATCCGTTTCCTCGGTTCCAGAGTGTCGAGCATCTCAGCTGGCTGGGCTTCTACAAAGACCTCTCAGAGGGACCGCACCAGCCGTCACCGTTCTACCACAAGAGGAGTCTGCACAAGACCAGGGAGGAGGTGGAGCGCGTCCGCCAGAAGGTCCTGCAGATGAGGTGAGTCTTCCTGGACAGGGAGCTGCTCTCTACTCTCTGCTGTCTCTCTGACGGGTCTCTGCTGTCTCTCTGACGGGTCTCTGCTGTCTCTGACGGGTCTCTGCTGTCTCTCTGACGGGTCTCTGCTGTCTCTCTGACGGGTCTCTGCTGTCTCTCTGATGGGTCTCTGCTGTCTCTCTGACGGGTCTGCTGTCTCTCTGACGGGTCTCTGCTGTCTCTCTGACGGGTCTCTGCTGTCTCTCTGACGGGTCTCTGCTGTCTCTCTGACGGGTCTCTGCTGTCTCTCTGATGGGTCTCTGCTGTCTCTCTGACGGGTCTCTGCTGTCTCTCTGATGGGTCTCTGCTGTCTCTCTGATGGGTCTCTGCTGTCTCTCTGATGGGTCTCTGCTGTCTCTCTGATGGGTCTCTGCTGTCTCTCTGATGGGTCTCTGCTGTC